CTTCAGTCTGTAAATTAGCCACTTGAGCGAGTTTATTACAGCAGAAAGATGTTGTAATTTATAATTTTAAATCGACGATGCGTCATTGTAAATCAAATAATGACTCTTAAATTTTAAGTTACTTATTAATGCGAATACCACATATAGATATTATATTAAAAGATAGATTAGGAAAATGATTTTCGAAAAACTACAGAATAAAACTAAAAAAAAAAATAATGATTTCAATGCTATTGTAAAACTCAAATCACTACTAGAAAGACAATTTATAATGCAATGTATAATGTATTATGTTATAATATTTTTGTTTATACACAAGAACGATGTTACGGTATGATGATAACAGATTATCGGTAAACTTGTAATCTAGTTGATGAAAATAAAATGCATAGTAWTTTCCATAGATATTATAATATTCCCGGTTTAATTATAATTAAATAATAAATCATAAATTAAAATAATATTGCTCACTAATAAAGATTAATAATTGAAAATCGAAATTAATCTATACTGTATGATACACTTTATAGGCTTAAATACTTTTAATATGCTTCCAACTAAAATTTTGATCACCGATCACGACATCTTTATTCGATTTAAAATCCCAACATAAATCTTCTTAAAACGACAAACGGTACAAGGCGTGCTGATAATCGACGTGTAAATTGAATTACGCATATTATTTTTATCCATTTTAAGGTATTTTAGCAGTATTATAATTTTATCAAATATTTCAAATCGGAAATTTAATAAAAGAATCGTTATTTCCAAATGTTTATTACACTTACAAACAGTGACGCAGAACAATTATTGTTCATACTCTTAAATTAAAAAATTAAAAAGCTCCCGGATCAATAAAGTGATTTATTATAAAATAAACAAACTTAACGGTAGTGTGTGTGGGGAAATTCTCGCTAGGATAAATTACATTATATTATATAGGTAATAATCTTCATAGTTGCGTTTTGGATGAGATGTGTTAGATTAGGTATTGCTAATGTAATGGTAAATGGTTTAGATAAAAATCACAGGAAGAGTAAAATGTGAGTAGAAATAATTTAATGATTTTTAACGAGTAAATGCTATCAGTTACGATTCGTGTGGCGCAATCGTAATTTATGCTAAAATTATGCAAATAAAACACAGAYTAAAGTAATTAGGTAGATACAGACCACACAATAAKTGTATATGCATGCAATGGATAAAAGTAAAACTATACAGCTGATATATCAGATGACTATGAAAGTATAAAATGCATGGTACACCAAAAAATAATAAAAATATAAAATTAAACTTTAAGTTAGATATATATTTTAATGCGAATTTGATTGTATGAAAATAAATAACTTTAGATAAGGAAACAGTAAGCATAATATTCATTTAATTCATTAATTTTTCACAAACATATACATTAAGTACAATATACTTAGTTATATAAATAATGATTTATTCATACCCGATTTCCATCATATTAAATTATTAAAAATAAAACTAAAATAATATTTAAAAATATTAAGTAATAGACGAATTTTATGAATAATAAATAATACGTTCTTAATAAGTATTGTCGTACTGACTAATCTAAATTACAAAATATAATACTATTATAGACTATAGACTATAAGGCATAAAGAGCACAATAAATTTAATTTGACTTTATGTTTTTTTGGTTGAAAACCTTGGTTGTTACTCGTTATCCGGTTTTGAAATTGAAATTTCTGTATAATACACCTAACTAAACAAACAGAAATTTCGTTGTATTTCATTAAAGTATCATATCAGAGTTTCTAAGTGGATAAATATTGATCAAAATATCTAATGAATAAAACATATGTTACCAAACAAAATAGCTTTGATAATGGAAAATAGGTTTTTGAAAAAATTTTAAAATAATATTTATTTATATTTAATATTCGTGTAATTTTTAAAACTCGCTGCTTACTGTTAACAATACATATTATTTATATAATTGTGTTTTTAAAATGTGTACTTTTATAACTTTCTTAGATGCCAGTAGGTATCCATAATCTTTTAATTGTAGCCATTTAAATTGATTCAAGACATATATATTATACATCATACAATTTTAAAGTATGCAATCAAATATTAATAAATTAATARCATAATATAGGTAACTATCATAATATTATTAATACAAATAAATATGAAATATATATGTATATAGGTAGTGTTATTATATTTTTGTATTTAATTTATGTAMATTTATTATAAAAATACTATACATATTATAAATAAAATAAAATGTGTAGGTAGGTATGCCAAGTTAAGAAAAAATAATTCCTAATTTGATGTTTTGTTTTAAATTTTTAAGGAGAAGAAGTTATAAAAAATTAAAAAAAGCAAATGATTTGAGGTAAAAAAAAATGTGAAATCTTTAAAATTGTAATAAAATATACCAGACCTTTTACTTCAGTTAGTTATTTATATTATATTATATTTCTTTTTATTAAATTCATCTTGAAATTTAAATCTAGATATTATTATTATTAAACAAATGCACAGTTTAACGAACGGTCATTCTTAGTTGGTTAACTTTTTTCGATCATGTCTTGTTTTGTATCTGTTGATAATGTGCCAATAGAAAAATTTCGTCTTCTTTTGTTAGCAGAATCGTAACTGCAAATCAACTATAATTGAATGATTTGGCGACGAAAGTATTTTTTTTTATTTAATGACTCATTTGGCTCATCGCTCATGCTAGATCGATTTTATCTTTAATGCCATTTGTTATTTAAGTGTGTATGTGTGTAACATGCATTGAGCTTACTTTTTATTTATTTAAACATTTACATCCATTGTTATACAATAATATGTCTATTGTCTAGTCTAAATTTATTTTACTTCCTTATTTCATACTAACTTTTTTTAAACTGTCGTACCAATATAGGAACTGCAAGTGGTGTAATGAAGAATTTGGTTTGGTAGTTAGTGAATTACATATTTTTAGTGAAATCTGTAATCCTCATATACAGTAACCTACCCCAACAAGTATAAAATATCAGCAGTAAAATAAAAGATTTGGGGGGGGGGGGTCTATCCTTCTCACCCTTCTCTTAATTACGTCCCTGAACTGCAATTGTATAAAAACTGCAGAGCAAATTTTATTTGGAATGCGTAAATTTAACATACAATTACTGAATCACGGTTATAGCCAAAATACAACATTGTCGAAATTAGCCAATAATAACTGAAACAAAAAATAAATAATATATAAATGCTATATGATGTTCTTGTATATATTATATTCAATGTCCTCGATTGAATAAATCATATTTTGCATAGGTTAATTATAAACGATAACATTCATTGTACGGGACAAAATAATTGTAAATACTCACAATAATCAAACATACGAAAAAAATATAAACATGTAGATAAACCAGTTCAAACGATTACGCAAGGTCGATCAAACTGAAATTATTTTATTGAAGGACGCCTTACGTCACTTTAACTAAAGTATCAGGTGAAGTACCTATATATCTATCAATGAACTATCTCATAAYTGCACAGAACCCATCACATTGTTTCAATTTCTAATCAACAATGCGTATGAATTAATGTCAGAATATTTCACAGCTAATGTATGCATGCATGCAATATCAATAAAATTGAAAAATCACAGGTGTGGTATAAAATAATAAATATTGTATAGCATTAAAACTTTTTCATTGTACCTATATGTGCTATTACATGGGATTAAAAAAGAGCGATGGGGGATTTTGAAAATCATAATCCATCAAAAATACAATTTTGACAAATCGGACATATTTCGATTAAACCTAAAACTTAGAGCTTCACCACCGTACGCTAATACTTAAACTATATACTCTTTTTTTGAAAATTTAAAAATTTATTGTTGTATGCAGGAAAGGGCATTAATTACTAATTTTGGACTACCTGACTCAGTTTTTCTAATGAGATATACCATCATCGTGTGATTGTTTATTATTTATATATTAGCATTATTTCATAAACGATGAACGCAATGTAAAAACGGATCATTGGAAGTTGTTTCGTTAGAGTGTTAGATACTATATTTTATAGTACCAATAGTATAAAGTTATCACACATTTGAATGAAAAATAATTAATTTCAAAATGTTTGAAACGATCAGCCTACAGTCTTACCAAAATTGTTACGTAACATAGTATAGTATAGAAATACTGAAAAGTGATAAGATCAAAAAAAAAATTACATATTATTTGTGGTACCTAGTAAATATGATATTATGTGTTTTTTTTATAAATCAAAATAAATACAAAGTTATTATGAATAGGTAAAATAAAAGATTTCATAAGAGTTTTTATTACTAACCACAAAAATCTTACTGTCAGAGAAATAGGGAGTAAAAAAAAAATGTTCATGTTCAATTGTTTTTCTTCCCCTTTTTGCTCACTAGTGCGAGCCGAGGTTTGAGTATCACTCCAGCGAGATTTTGTGACAGCAATTCCCGAGTGTCCTCAAATACTACAACACAGTACTATATGTCATAGTGTTCAACTATCCCTGCCAGTTATTTTGATCGTAAAATTATGCTAATCAACGTGCTAGGAATCATACCCTTTGTAGTCATAATATAAAAATATTTCATTTTTTTGTTTTATGGTTATTATTATTCACAGAGTTATCAATAATGAAAAACAATAATAATTATTCTGTTATGTTTATTCTTTACGTGGAAAAAAAAAAGAAAATATATAGAGAATGTTCTTTTTAATACTACATAACTTCCGAGGATTTGCAGCAAAAATGGATCAAATGCTTTATAAAAAAAAATTAATTAGGAATTACGTTAAAGTTTGAACGTCTATTAGGAGCACATACAATATTAAGGATAATAATTGACGACGTGTTACTATACCAACCTYGACAATAACGAAATCATATATTATTCTATTTTATAATTTATCATCCGCATAATTTTCTCTAAATACCTAGTCTAACTACTAAATTTTTAAATTGGGAATTTTGATTTTAATATGAACGAATCTGATATAAGTGTACAGACCAATAGTTCAGAAATATTTATTATAGATCACGATAATCAGGAAATAGCAGAATATGGAAACGGCATGTTTATAAAGCTAAGAGATCGTGATATTAGTGTTACTGCTAATATTATCGGTAAAGATGTCTTCTAAATGTGACTGTATAAAATATTTGTCAAATATTACTTAATTGACATTTGTTTCCGTGGATTTTGTATTGAATAATAAATTATTATTTTTGTTCATAAAATATGTTTATATTATTATATTTATTTTAAGATACGATTTAAATTTWAAAAAAAGAATAATTAGCTCGATTACCTATTAGTTTATCTAAACAACTGAATTTTAATCAACAGATCCATCATCTGGAGCTATCTACCATATTACTGATCAAGAAAACGATATCACAGAACCAAGAAGTATAGATTTGAGCTTTAATGATATTAGGAACAGTATTTGTCTTCAAAAACTATTGAAAGCATCAGAAATAAACACACTAAAAAATACATATATTCAAGTAATTAATGTTCTATTATAGATAAAAACAGTTTCAAACAATACATTTGTTGTCAGGAATTAGATCTAAGTAACAACTACATAGGAGGCGAATGTGTCAAAAACATAATTTCTTTTTTAAACAGTAACGACAGACTACAAAAATTAAATTTATCTGGAAATTTGTTGAATGAAGAAACTGGTCCGATAAGCATTATGGAATAATTATGTATCTGGTTATTGTTAATAATTAAATACTTATAAGCATTTTCGTTTTCTTAAAGCCTTGTCAGCTCTGACGAGAACTATAGTAGGAGATTCAAACGAAACTTTACAAGTTTTAAGATTGGATTGGAATGGGATATCTGGTGAAGTTTGTGCAAACATATTTAAAAATCTTATGATTAAGTCAAAAAGCTTAAAAACATTGGATCTTAGTTGGAATAAGTGAATATAGAAATGTATAACACAGTTATAATGATCACTTTGATTAATATGAAATATATTTTATTAATCAATTTTAAAATTAGATAAAATATAATAATTGAAATCGTTGTATAGTTTCAGTGATGTTGGTAAAATATTAGGTCAAGGAATAAACCATACAACCAGATTAGAACATTTGTATCTAAACAACAATCCGCTAACAAATGAAGATATTATTGATATATTGAGCGGTATAGTTAATCCCACTTCATTCAAGATTTTGAGTRTAAATCATGTATTTGTCAATGAACAATTAGAAAAAGTAAGTCAAAATAAATGCATGTAATTCGTAATAAGTTTTAACAATAATACAATTATACTTACTTACTGTAGGCAATATCAAAAGCTCAAACACGAGTACCAAATGTTAGTGTTAAAGTGGCCATTTATACAGGCATGAAATCTAATCCTGTCATCGATATGAAAGCATTATATTTAGAGAGAATTCATTTTTTGGGGGTTACTAAACCAAAAAAAAAAAATCAAAAATTTGATATAGGGTAAGTTTTTAATTACATTCACTAAAAAATATTAAAATGTATTTGTATAGCTAATCATTAACCATCTAACAATGTTTATTTAACTTGATAATTATTATAGTACATTTACGTAGAGGAAATCGTTAAGTGTAACCACGATATAAAATCTATAATTACCATTTTAAATCGTGGTTGTAACTAATAAGTTGTAATACATTTTTGATTATTAGTGTATTCTCAATGTTAAAAATAAAAATCTATATATTATAATTCATTTATTTCCCTGGAAAACGTTTAATATAATTGCACTTAAGTATTTATATTTTATAACTTATGAATGAGTTTTGAAAATTAAAACAKAATTTAATTGACTATTAAAGTTAATTCGATTTATTTATTTAAATTATAGTCACGTCTTGCTACAAATGAAAATTGATGGAAATTTAGAACCCATGCAATTGAGCTTGTTTATTTCAACATTTGAAAATTTAAAAGTTAACGGCATGATTATGGAACTACTCGAGGATTTGGCTCTTCAATTTATGAATGCAGATAAAACAATTGATGTAGCTCTGATGTTGGACGAGTACTTACATCTATATCCAGATACTACATTAGTGTGATTAATCATCGTTATTCAACATAAATCATCTAATAACAAGAATGACAAAAATTATGAAGAATATATTATTATGAAAAATAAAAAATATAAATAACTTTACATAACAATAATATATTACACTAAAAACATTTAAATATATATCATATTATGTTTAGTTTCTTATGTTTCAGATGTAAATTTTTCTGATATTAAATTAGATTTTTGATTATATTGAATTAAACTAAATACAAATTTATTAATTAAACTAGATTGATGATTTTGACCTGTTAAGTCAATCTTGGACATTTTCATTAACATTTACAAAAACAATTTATGAAATTTTTGTTACAYATTTTTATTTGGAAAATTACAAGTACCTAATTTGATAATATTTTTTTGAATAAATAATATCTAAGGTATTTGCTCGAATATAATAAATAAAAAAAAGTATCGTCTTATGTTTTAAATAATTATAAGAGTACATTAAATAATTTAGGATAAATTTAAATAAATAAATTTTTACGTTTTTTTCTAGTTAAGAAATACCTATTATATATATATATTRTATAAAAACATTCAAAGTAACTATGTATTGATATTAAACTGTTTATATTTAAAGGTTACTATTATCGGATTATCTCAATACGTCTTTGCTAATTTAGTCATCATCAATATTATTGTAATTCTGTATTTCTAACAGGAAGAAACTGTCAGTAACCATAACGATTTTTAGGTTATCACGAGATTTGATAAGACTATTGACGTAATGGTATTACAAGAAATTTGTAATGAGAATAATGAGATAGAAAACACAAAATACATGAATGTATTGTTATTTATTCTATTGACTGTGACGTGTACTTACTACTTACATATTATATTATAGTATGTATGTATTGCATACCTATATATTTATCAAAATAAAATATTCTTATCGTTGTGGAATGAATTCGTTTGAATAATACAACATTGTTTAAAAATAAAATAATAACACAATAAAAAAAAAGAATTATTCATACATTTCAAGGATGTTCAGATAATAATAGAAAGATATTTATGATAAAATTAACTTTAAATCTAAAAATCAAAGCCAAAGTTTTGGTGTCACTTTCTTAATCAACTTTCATAAAATTAAAAAAAAAACTACACTGTTAGGTATATATTATATCATTTGTAAATATAGGTAATCAAATAAACAATGCGTTAATTAAGGAAAAAAGACGTTCCTATTTTCATTTCTAAAAATCAATCAAAATTAAAATAAATTGAATAAAACATTTTATGAGCGGTAATCTTGTACAATGGAGGTGTCGGCGGGACGTTTAACACCTTGAAATTGGTTAAGCTACATAGTAGTGTAACTTTTGACAGTGTAGAAAAATCCTCGCCCTCGTAGAAAGGACTAGACAGTGTAATTTAATTAAAACCATCTCTTACGACCATTAATCGTACGCAAACTGTGGCGATGGAGGCGGCTTTTTTGAGAATAAAAATATTTTGGCGGGATAAAAATTGGAYAAACGAARAGGGGGGCGATGAATCATAACTCGGAGAAACTTGCGAGAAACGACAGCGACAACGAATAACTGTTCGAAATGTCAGAACGAATTAATCATCCCTCGAGACGCATTTTCATCCCCAAGACCGACCGTATTTTATAAAAGTAAGTCCTATGATAAAATGTATATTGTATAACGACAATAAACAGGGGAAAAATATTCTAAGGGAGACGTTAAGCATAATTTTCGTCCTATGTACATAGAGGCAAAACATATAATTTAGCCACGAAACTCTAAATCTATGAAATTTTATCAAATTCRATTTGGTTCTTTACTATGATGTCATGTTCTGGTACATCATTTTGTTCTTATTGTAACATTTATTCTAACGATAAATCCTAAGCGTTATCTATCTGGTAATTAAACTAAATTTTTTAAATTTATTTATTTTTAACATATTTACTTATAGGTACTACAAACTTGAAGATGCATTAGCGGCCTAAACCACACAATACACTAAACATTTGTACTAAAAATATACGAATATTCTAAGTCAATATGTGTTATGTTTATAATTAGTAATTACATTTTGAAAAATATAGTTAACAACAGCTGATTTACTCAAACCAGTCAAACTTTATAATGGGCACATTTTAACCAAATAACTAATTATTTTACGGTGTTTTAGATATTTTTTGTGAACCCTGAATCTAATTTTTTGAAATTTTAAAGATTACATTCACCACACTTCACATCGTTTAGCCTAAATTTCATAATCCAAATCACTAGTCTAGAGTCAAAATAAGTTAAATTAAATTAAAAGCACAAAACTTAAACATAATATTATTTATCATAGTAAACAGTAATTTTTARCTCATGTAGTCGGGGTAATSCGATCGGATGACGAAAGCGAGGACGAAAGGTTTCATAAACTTTCACGGAACACACCCGATAACGGGTTCCGGAAACGATGTAATAATAATAAGAAAAATATCGGAAAACGGACTTGATGATAACGTCGAAAGGTTCATACTTTCTTTGGGTGGAAAATCGAAACTTCCGCGCCTAACCATAACATCGACATGAACGACAAAATAAATCTCGCCGATTGTATCCACTCATCTGTTAAGTTATCGTATTTTAACCATTCCATTAATTTGTGTATGTAATATTTAAGTATTTATCGCATGTTTTTTTAGTTGGACACAATTTTCATAAATGACATGAATTCTCAGTKGGTAAAATGATTTGTAAGCGCCAATAATAACGCTGTAATGATATAGTCATCTGTCTAATTGATCATTACCATGCGAGTGTAAATAATGATTTCCGTGTTACATTTCATATAATTATTGTTACGGCTTATTTCTTACGTCGCCCATTAAATTATAAGCCACACAATTCTATAGATATGATACCAACTGATTCAATACATTTACGTCGAATACTATCTTAAGTTAGACCAACCGTTGCAGTCTGTGATTTTATTACTTTATAAAGGAATTTAAAAAAGTATTTAATTATTTAATTTTACTTTAAATGTATTGATTAAAACTATCTGATTGATAASGAGATGAAATATTATTGCACATCCGTTCGTTTGAAAAGATGTCCATATTATGTTCGTGATATATTTGTTTGTATACGAGTATACCTACACATGTACACATGTTTTTTTATGTTGTATGTTCAGTGTATATTTTTCATACTAATGTAACGTGGTTGTTTGGTTTGCCTCGATTTGCACCTTTATATTTCAAGTTTTAAACATTGAGTTTTAGATAATTATTTTGCTACTTGTCCAACTTGATACAATGATAACCATTATAGTTGATTGGCCGGTAAGCACATAATATAAATATACAATACATTAAAATAACATTTTTTTTATCTAGTTACTAATATTCGTGCAAGGACTTCAATATATAGATGTGAGGAATATTTTGAATACTAAATTATATCTGTACAAAAATTATAAAATTATATTAGCGTAATATTAGAAAAGGAAATATATTTGCATCATTTGTAAATTCCTAAAATTAAAGTAATCCTTATTATACCTAGTACCATTGATTAAAATGCACATCTACTACAATATTAACAATTCAAAATTTCGAAATAAACATTGCAATAAGAATATAAATAAACAGCTATAAAGGTAAATTTTTTTCTTTTTTTAAAGTTTATAGGAACCTATGTGCAGCTTAATATATTGCATTTCAGATGAGCTGTGCAAGTAGTATATGATAAAATAAATTGGTATTCTGTAGATATTAGTGATATATTTCTAGATACATTGATATGCTMCAATTGTGCGTCTATACTGTATAATAATTAATAAATGCTGTTAAAACAAATTAATAATATAATGTTTTATTATAAACAATTTAAAATTGCTATGTTATATTGAAGGATAACAACTTTAGATATATTAAACGAATCCGATGTCTTATAGCTTCCGTGGTTTTGTATATAGTGAGTAGTGGGACAACAAAATCACCTGAGGAATTTTCTGACATAGYTATAACTTTATAGATTTGACCGCAAACACTATAGTACTTAGTGTATTATTCAAGTATAGCTTGTTAATTCATTTATATAGAAGTCACTTATAAAAAGTGTTGTTTATATTCAAATAATATTCAAATATTATACTATAGTGAAAATTATTTTTAGAATGGAAGTAAATTATAATACCTAATTTTATTTAAGCACAGAATTAACATATTAATCATTCTATACAAATAAATAAACAGACTACTATATAGTCTAGATCATATTTAACTAGGTATGATCAATATAAATCATTTTTTCGTTTAGGTTGAGGTTTATAATATAATTATTACTATTCATAATTCTTAGTTTATATATCTACTTTTAATAAATGTATGACTGTATTTAATTAAGATATAGGTTATATACATTATACACACAAATGAGAAATTAATTAATAATAAATATATATAAATATATATATTTAAATTAATAATTTAACATTAATATATATTATATAATATAGCTTTAAAACAATCATGTAGGMTACTTTCAATAGAAAATAGAAACATAAATAACAATACTAAGCACCGAGTTTGAATTATAATTTGAAAATAATTATWCTATTTTTATTTTTAAACTGATGAAAAAATTTGAAAATAAAAAATAAAAATTTAATATAGAATTTGGCAATGACTATTTAAAATATTATTTATGACCATGAATTATAATAGGTAATATACTGTTAAAATAATGTAAACTAGGATTGCATTTTTTTGACTGGATTACAATATATTAATTTCAGTACAGAATAATATTAGAATATTTAATGATATCCGATACCCATTCATGCGTTGTGTTAGAAACAATTGATAGGAATTTCTATTTTAATATTTTAAGTTTTCTGTTGTGACATTTATGACAAATATTTTTAGTGACTTGCGTTTTTTGGCACTTAAAAGAGATGCGTAATTTCTTATCAGATTTAATGATAGTATATTTACAAACAATATATAAAAATAGATGGATAAACAAAATGGGGCCACAATGCATAAGACATAACAGCCGATGGTTGGATTTATATTAAATATTGATAATTATAATTATAAATATAATTATACTAATTTTTTAATCATCATAAATTCACAAAAATATATAAAAYATTATTTTTCAAAAAAAATGTGTTCATTAATATTACACTTGACATTTTTAGATGATAGTAGGTATTAAAGATAACTGTATAAGTAATTGTGTTTAAAGTATGTTGAAATGTTTATACAATCAATATTTTATACAATGTATTATACCAATTTAATATAATTAAAATAGCAGATGATACCATCATAATTATGTTAAACTTAATACTAACTAAAAAAGAAACATTGAAATTCGTGCTTATTAATTCCAAAATACTATTAAGTTGATATGTGAAATATCTTTTTTCTACCCGAATCGTAAGTTTAAATGGGATGGAGACTACTATCAATAATTATAATACAAGCTGCTAGTAAATTGCTCATTGTATAGGTAATATACGATTTACACGAAAACAAAAGGTTGCATCAATAGGTTTCACTCTACCCATTTTAAACACGTGTTCCTATAAAATGTTTTTAAAAAATTTAAAATAAAACCAGCAGACTCAAAATAAAATCCACCAAATAAGTAATCGGATTTTCCGCGCGTAAACAAGGAAAAGTTCAACGTACATTGCGAAAGTTTTAGCCGCATTAAAATGTAATTCACCAAAAGCTGCGCGTAGTCAACGGTAGCGCCAATCTTTTTCCCGAGGGCAGGAAGCAAACGACATTCGACGACACCTTCACCGATTTAATCAAAGGTTTTTCCTTCGGAATTCGATTTTATCTCGGTTGATTGTTTGGAAAAAAAGCCTTACGGAAAATATCAAAATTCCTAAAAAGTCATTAAAGATTCTATTTTATATTTTTATATTTAAATATATACAATAGGCAATAGAAATATTTTGTTTTTAATTATTATATATATGTTAAAATTATCTAGGGACGTCGTTTTTAAAATATCGTGTTTGACTTTACGACCTATATCATATTATTTACTAAATAACWACATTTATAAACTTGAATGGACTATAATAAACTATTTAATACGCTCATAGAACATTTTTATACATATACATCCTCGTATATACATCTTATCTACGTAATATTATTTTATATAATACCTGCCTGGCTGCCTATGATATAACATTATAACCGCTATAAAACGTACGTAGTAAATTAATCAAAAGTATTTTATACTTTATAATATATCAGCCCAGTTTTATCTGCTAACACGAATTAGGCGTGTTTTATTATATCCCTAAAGGCAAAAGTTTTTAACGAATTGTGGACATTTCAAAATATCATAACGAAAATATAACCAAACATAAGTTATTCATCAAATCATAATATAAATAAATAAAGAAAGACGAGTTCTTATATCTATATTAAATAATATAGATAGTTTTTACATACATCACAATAGTTTTTTTTTTTTTTTTAATTAGTGGTTATAGTATTGTGGATGGCGGCTTAATATTACTTATGAACTTCGTTAGTGAACTATATTAATATGTATAATATGTACATCACATAAAGTTTTTTATATTTTCTAACCGAAAAACAGACAGTTCAGCTCAATCAAGGGCATAAAATATTCTGGGTCGTGTTTAAACTTAGATAACGAAGGTATAATTTCTTAGCACAATCCATCAAAACAGTCACTTAACCACTGCCTAAGGATAAATAATTTAAAATTATTTCTTATGGACTCCAAAGAAATTTTCTAAAGTAACCATAAATGTATTTAATCGGAGTGATATAATGAYATCTACTATTTAAATRTCTTTGTAAATTCTATGATAAGTCTCTTCTCTCTCAATAGTTTGTCAAATGTAGATAAAAAAATACAACAATCAACTTTACAAAACATATTAATAATATTGAATTAATTTACCTACCTATAAATGAGTAATATTTCTAAGTGAATG